CCAAAAAGAATGTAATGGGGATTAAAACCAATTGTTTTCAAATTTCTGGAACCATCTTGTGATGTCTATAAGCAAGGTGCTATGTAGTAGTAGTGTCCTATGACGCAGGACATAATCCTTACCGCGTTCTGAACTTTCACGAAGTTTTGAAACGCGAGTGCCTCAAAATAAAATGAGTTTTCTTCACGGAATATTTGAATGCAAATTATCACCAACGCCAATAAAATGTTTGAACAACATTTGTAGGATTTCATTAACATGTTGAATTTTTCCTCACCTTTATGGTGTCTAAGATGGTGGTGTCCGCAACAAGGTGTTTCATAGTAGAATGCCCAATGGTTGTCATAATCAGCGCCAACATGGAATACACCGAGTTCAGACAGGACTGTTACAACAAGTACTAGACGCAAACACGCTGACATCTTACTTGCCATTGCTAAGAGATTCCTAACACGGCACTTTGCGAGAGAAACCCGAAACCTCTGTTAACAGTTCTCCCCAACTTACACGACTGTGCCAAACAACAGTGAGATATTTTCAACAACACATTCATGCCATCATAAACAGCAAGGATAACAAATTAAGCTCAAGCAACAAAAATGTCTGCGTTTGCTTTGCTACACGTGCAAGTTTTCGTACGACTGGGCTGATTCTGCCCACCAGCTAACCGGATAACGTCCACAGCTAACGTTCCCAGGCCACCAACTGACAGTGTGATGCGAGAGACTGGCGCGTATTCCAGCTAGACCGCTCGGAATGACTCGACTGTTTCCGCCAAGAAACTATGTGCGAATGCAATGCCACCGGCACGAAAGGATGTTGCAGACAGGCTTCCCGGGGTTATTCAGATATCAGGCTGTTCGAAGGAAGCCAAACTACACAGACTGCAGTTCATGACAAGTCAGTGGTCACCCAGGTAGCAGAATTTCCGTCTCATATGTAACTGGAAGATTTATTTGGGTGTCCACGGGCAAGTATTTCGAGTTCTTACCAACGCTTCGGTCTTCGAGTGGTCCCATTCCTTCAAAATCTCAGACCAAAACTTTCATATTGTGCGTAAAATTTCTCTGTGGTAAACCTCTGAAGCCCAAAGTTCATCTGCATACTATTTAAACATTCAGTTCTTATCGCAAAGTAAACACAACGAATCCCCGCTATAAATATCAGTCAGTTAATGTTGTTTAAGGATAATCGAAGTTTATTATGAAAAACCAACAAATGCTCTCTATGAGCAAATATAAAATTGTTGAATTTTAATGTGGGATGTACATATTTTGATGTCAGTCTTCTGGGACGTTGCGCCTGTAGTCCAGTAGATACAGACCGACGTTTCAGAGCGGATTACTGCCTCAATCGTCGCCCTGATGATGGAGGTAGTGCGTTCCTCTGTAACTTCGGTCAATATCTACCATCCTACACGGCACAAGGCCCCAGAAGAGTTATCTTCATACATGTCGCAATGAGAACCTGAAATCTCACCTAGGTTACACACATACTTACCACTTTACATTATTATGTATTAGCTTTGCCAGTTTTATTACCGAAAAGTTCCCTTTATATTTCACCATCATTAAACAGTTGTTAGAACCGCATTCATGACGTACTATAACGTCTGGCATCAATCATACTTCAACCCAGCTGTAAGTCATAAGAAAAAAGAGATGAGTAAGCCCAGAAGAGGACTTGTAAACATCTGCAGCACGGCGGAAAATGCCTGCTCAAACAAAAGATTGCAAACACCGATCACATCAAGTGCACATAAGGTACCCTCACTAATACCAACGTAGGATAGGCGTATATAAAAGCTTTAAAATTCACTTGTACAGAAAAAAAAAGCTGTGCGGAACATATCATCTCCAAGATATACTCATAAAGAATAATTATAACGCAGAATAACTTACTTCACGATATTGGTCTTTCTTGGACAGCTGACAAGTTATCAAGGCGTTGTCCACTGTTATAGACTCCGCGGTCCATCGTCATCAGTATGTAAGCTCCCAACTGGACCACATCGTGTCCAGTTCCGAGATAATACGTCACAATTCGGTCTACTTTTTTTTATTTTCCTCCCTCACCAATCCTCCATCTGCAAACTGCGAACCCAGTGCAGTGACGAGAGACGGGACATTTTATTACTTGAACTAAAATGAGAAGAACACTGTTTTCTGGGATGTTCCGCCGTTGTAATCTTACTTCCGTCAGCACCTCTGAATCCTCCGTAAATTTCTGAAATTTACACTACGCAACATCCCACAAGATAGACTTCATCATATTCGTCGCCATGAGAACGTGAAACCTCACCCGTCTTCGGCTCCTCTGTCAGTCTGGTATTTGATAGGAGACTAGGACTGAAACAGATCTATCTTATCATCACGCGAATCTACGGTAGTTAAGTAACAAAATAAGTGGTCATATTTTCGTTCGAATTTAATAGGACAGGAATAATTCAGCATTTGTTGCCTGCGGTACATAATCCTATCCTTTATGTGTCAGTTAAGAAGTGTTTGTCCTGTTTATTGTTACTGACGGGCTCTGCTCCATGGACGTAGTTATGGAGTTGCGTTAGAATCGATTTACATACGTAATTGTATCCTAATCATCCAGTGCAAAATTAATAGGCCTGTGATGAAGGCAGAAACCAGGTGTGGTAATTAAGTTACAGGTTCAACTGAAATTCGACTTTCTTACGCAAAACCGGAAATATTCCCAGCGAATCTCACACAGTTAATATGCATATAGTCTTCTTATACTTTAATAACTGTAATTTAAATTGGGCCTGGAATGTTAAAGGCAAATTACAGGCAACCTAAATTTAAGAACATGCAGTCAGTCATGATTTGCTTGGATATTTGCATGTACTGTCGTTCTCTGTTCAGTACTTAAAAAGCAACTTGGTGTATAACGGTGTCATTAAGCCGTGCAATGCTGTATGTATATCCCTTCAAAGTTATGGATGAAATTTTGATGAACAGTTCAAAATAAGATTATCATGCATTACCGATAATGATGAAATGACGTATCTATATCGGTTATGTTCAAAATCGAATTTCTCCTCTCATTTCAGTTATAATTGGTTCGGATGGGAAAGAACTTCCTCCTAGCAAATCATTTATAGCATAAAACACGATATTCAGAACAGAAACAACAACAACAACAACGACGACGACAACAACGCGTAACGTACCGTCTTTTCTAGAATTCTCTTTTCAAAAGTTGATACACATTACCTTGCTGCAATTACCTGATGATGAAGGCAACAAGGACCCCTAAAACGTTGGTAAATTTCTATCAGATTTCACGAAGCAACAATCCGGAAGACAGCCATCTTCTGCTGTTTCCAAGTTTCAAGCGTTCAACAAAAGGGAAATAAGAAAAGACATGCAGTGTGTCAACACGTCAGCGTTTACCTGTCTTAACAAATTTTAGTTGATTCTGTACGGACGATCGTACGAATTCAGGTACCAATATCCTTTAAAATTACTATCTAAGGACTCAAGGACCAGGTTTCGATTCTCGGAAAGGGCAGACGATTATAGACACTGTAGCCTAGTAAACCTCTTATATAATGAGCATAGCGGGCTCCTTTGCAAGGGATAATTCGGAAGAGACGTGAAGCTAAAGCTGATCTTTGCCTCCATCTACGAGCAAATTCTTAGGCTTGTACATCCACTTCTAGTACACTTTTCCAAGATGTGATGCTTTAGTGGAAGAATATAACCTTTGTGTTTTTTACTTTAACGAAACAACAGGCTTTTTAAGTTTTCTAGTTAAACAAAGTAATCTTCACGAGATGATAAAGTTGCGTCATATTGTGATAAATATATATTTGTTTAAATCTTGTCAGTCTAATCACAATAAAATTCCTATTAAATATTAAAATATTACCATAATTAACATTTGTTCTAATGTGAATCGAACATTTCGATAGAGAATATCATTTAATATATTTTAAATATTTAAATGTTAATTATGGTAATACTTTAATATTTAATAGGAATTTTATTGTGATTAGAATGACAAGATTTAAACAAATAAACAAAAGTAATCTTCACTGAAGAACACGTTAGAAATTTACAGTCCTACAGGTGTACCGCATAATTTGTCCCGATTAGAAATCGATATCATTTCCCTGGCATTATTAACACTAATCTCAATAGTTCAGAAGTTCATGAACCGTGGAATGGCATAAATGGGGCGTGAAGCTAACCTCTCATTTCCAGAGAGAATGAATGGAGCCTACCCTACAGGCAGTGGCTGGAGGAAAACTTGCCAAGGCTTGAACAGAATACATCACCACAAAAAAGCAAAACGAAGTTACGTACTGAACACAACTCTTTCTCTGCGGAGCTGTTTGTTGTTTCTTGGCATATTTAATGACGCTGTGAGAAATGTAAAGGTTATTTAGAGTTCAAATAGACACAATGGAATTGCCGAACTGCCGACCGCCCATGCTAGGTATAAATGCACTGCGCAGACATTTAACTAGATTGTGGTAGACGATAGAAATCGTAGGATAGGATACTCGCATGGCTAAGGCTGGTATCCAGGACACATGAAAACAGGAAGGCAATAAACACATCATGACGGTCGATTATCTCAAAGGTTATTGCGAGAAATGTGGGCATAAGTAACAGTTAATATCACTCGCACATAAATTTACTTTATTAAATTATTAAACAGTCTATTTTATACATATGTAATCTGATATTTAATCAAATAAAAGAGCAAACTAGATCCTACAGGTACTAAAATAATATTAAAGCTACATAACAAAAACAAAAACAACTTCATATTCACTGTTTCGACCTAACACTTCTTTTTTATTTGTCTATTTCTTGAACCCGACACAAATGCGTCTAGTAACTTCTGTTTCTTTTTCCTTCTTCGTTTCTCTTCGCTTCGCCTTACTTCTGAATCAAAACGAGAGCCCCCAACCCATTCGCCTCTAGCTTGGCCACGAAAGCGGAATAATTTCAATCTGTGCTCGCGGTCCTGGAAACAAGAAAAAGGGGGGAAAGTGCTTCTTTTTTGGGCCTCCTCCAAATTACCCATCCACATACAGTTCTGTATAAGAACAGATTCTTCACTTCAGTTAATTTACCTAGCTACTCGATAAGGAAGCCCAGGGTACTGAGGTCGAGATGTTTTAGGGCCAAGCTCCACGAACCCGAGAGGAATTGTACAAAAGACATGCTTACGTTCAGTACCAGACCCTCTGCAAGTCCACATATCTAATTACTCAACGGAGTTTTTGATGCACTTCATGCTTCTGAATCATATTTAACAGGCAGGAACTCCCCGTTTCAGTTATCGAATGCTCCGTTAATACTACAAGAAACTCACTTTAATGCCTGTTTGCTGTACAACACAAGCAAATCAGTTTTAAAAATAACAATCACATATCTGAGTTTCTCACGGCGGAGAAAAATGTCGATTTGATCTCCTTAGTTGTGACGCAGTGTAGTTCTTTGAGTGGTTATCAATGTTTCGGAGGGACATATCACTTTTATGCTCAGGAATGAAGTCACTTCAATCCTGAATCCTGGTATCATAACCCAGACACGTAACACAAACTTGCGTGCAATGTGTAGCACCACATTCCGAAAAAAAAGTTTTTATGGGCATGGCAGTCTACTGGACGATAAAAATTAATCAGTAAGGTAGGCGGGGTGAGGGGCTAAAGGCTCTGGTCATATATGGAGCAAAGCATGGC